TTCCAGTGTCTCCTCTGGCAGCTCTGCCTTTACACAGCCCAGAAATAGGAGACAAATGGAAATGCTGGGCTATTGAACCAATATCTGACTTTGCCTATTAATACCACTATACTAAAAAGGATATTTTAAAATCAATGTAGTTTAAAACTGGGGGGAGGGAGGGAAACAAATTCTCAACTGCATCTTTATATTATAACCTTACAGATTCCTTTATTGATTCATTGAATTTGTAGTTTCTTTTAGTTTTTAATGGCCGTGGAACCCAAAAGAAAGAACATTTCCTTGGTTTGGAGAGTGGGAAGCTCACAAAGCTGGACAATGACAAATTGTATGGGTGATGTTTTTGGAGAAATGTTTTTGTACATAATATACTAGCTAGCTTGCTTTAGTCATGTAATCTCTATCTTTGCTGTAACTTGCTTTCAATTTAGTTTGTGAAGCCATTAAGCATACACCTTGAAACATTGCTGTCAGGAGTGGCCAGATGAAATCGTTGGAGAAAGAATGCTATAAGACGTATTGCAGCCTAAGCCTCATAGAAGAGAAGGGAACACGGACAGGCCAAAATTGGAAATCTTTGAAGACATACTCTGAATTGTGTATTAATATTACTTATGAATAGATGTGTTCAACATTAGAACTCTGGGAAAAGTGGACCTTTCGATTAGTATATGATGACAATGATAGGATTCAGTTGGATATGAGAGTCTGGACAACAGATAGATGATCTCAATAGAATTAAGATGGCCTTAGTCTTAAGACATCCTGCAGTGACAGCACATCTGCTAAGAGGGGAGAGGCCACTGTGTACCTGGATGAGCACAGGCACTCCAAAACTGCCCTGCTGATTGACAGACAGAATCTGAACATGGCAGTGGGAACATTAGACTTAGAAAGTGCGAGACCACAATCTGGTGAGCACCTCACTGTGACAGCTCTGCTGTTGACCAAAGAAGAAATGCCCCAGGCCATTGGCACTCGGAGGACTGCCAGAGACCAGGTACCTGCTCGGCCCCAGGGATGGGAGAGAACACTGTGACATTGGAAATCAGAGATTTCATCCACATACAGAGTGAGGGAGCAGAGCAGCAACACTTATGTGAGACACAATGACCGTCCATTGCTCAGCAGTGCAGTGAATCATGTGGCCATCTGGCTTACTCATGTTGTGGGCCGGATCATGTTGCGGGCTGCAGTTTTGTCATATGCCACATGGAAGCTATTCAAAGCAAGTGGCCAGTTAAATCTACCAGCTACATTCTGATTTACATGTCAAGTTTTCTCAACATATAGCGTGATTGGTAAGATAGAAAGCTGAATATTTAATAAGACAAATTGGGCTTTCAACAATCAATAATTCTCTTAATTGGCAACTCAACGCTACACAATGCGAAGGCCGCAATATTGTTTGTGAAAAGCATAAAAGATGGCCTGAGTTGCTCCTGACCTGAAATGGGACTGGCTGTGCCACACATTTTGCCATTGCCTATGTCACTTGGCCGCTATAAGGTTCCGCACAATAAATCTGAAAGACATGCATCTTGCACTGATCAAGCACTGACCTCTCCTCGGGGAAAGAACAACATCTCTGGAATGAGCAGACACCAGGCAATCTGACAAGAACAACATGCAGGCATGTCATTAAAAGACCTAAATGCTTTGGAGGTAATGGATGAAAGGCAAATTTTAATAATGACTATTGAAAGTGCGACCCAGGTTCAAGTCCCACCTGCTCCAGAGGTATGTAATAACATCTCTAATAGGTTGATTAGAAAAATAGATTGAAAGTGGGATGGAATACAATTGTTAAAGTTCATGAATTATAATGTTTCTTTGTTGATTATCTACATTCGGTAACTTGTAACTGCAAATGATAATCCATGCAAGCTTCATTTTTTTTAAATGTGGAAAAGCATATGTTTGGAGGAATGAGTTATATTTACATATACAGACATATTGTATACTAATTGGCATGCTGGAGTCTGGTGATCACTATCTCTGCTGTAACTTGCTTTTACTATAATATGTACCAGCCATCAAACACATTACTTGAAACAAAGTGTAACATACACAACTGGACAAGAAGCTGAGGATGAGGCCTGGAACATGAGAAAGCAGAGACTCACTGTGTGAGGATTTGCCATCTATATCGCCCTGACTAGCAGTAATTGTAACTTTCTTCCCAGGAGTTAAATGGATGCTGTGGAGAGGCATTGTCTGCTTTCGGGGGAAATAGTACATTTGAAGACACAAACGTGTTGAGTGATCTTTACATTTCTTGTGTCACTGTGATGACCAATTTTGATGGGCACATGGGCTAAACAACTTGCACCAGAGACTATCAGGGGAAAGACATCAACAGAAACAAAGGCCTATAAGAGGCTGAAGCTAGAACAGAAAGAGATTTTTATGTCAGAGTGGGAGGGAGCTCGCTTTTGTAATTTTTTTTGCTATGAATGTTTTACAACAGTTTGTTTTAAATGTATGTTCTGCAGTTTTGTTACTGGGAATATTTATCTACATTATTAAAGATATTACCTCACATTATCCTCTATGATGATATCAGCCAGGCCCACCTGAATGACTTAGTATTGACCTTTACAAATTCATTGGTATTAACTGAATTCACATAGCTAACTTGGGCTGCTAAAAATGTTGTCATCTTTAACACACAGCTCAGAGTGGAAGGAAGGTTGGAAGTGCTTTTTCTGCAAGAGTTCTGTGCCTATAATTGCGTAAAGGGGGAAAATGCGAACCTTGTTGCCTCCATCGAAGATTTTTTCAATATAAAAATACAAAAATCTTCCACCTTTTTTAGTCCTTTGTTCTATATTTAATACATAATAAACATCGCCTAGCAGCACTAGATGCCAATTATATTCTAGCTTCCCAAATGGCCAGCTTTGCTGCAACAGTAGTGAAACCAAACACAGCATTTGTGATCACTTACTGCTACTACTTCATTGTAAGTGCTACAGAAGTGATGACTGAAATATAGAGAAAGCAAAAATGAACAGGAATCCAGCCTCACATATTATTGGTAAAAGCAGTCTGTCTGTCCTCACTACCATTACCATTAAACCAGTGGAAGGCATAGGAAAATCCCATTATTATATCTGTAATATCAATTTATCATTTAACAAAGATCCACCACAATATCTGGAGAATCATCCACTGTTCATCCTTAGGCCAAGATCCACTTCCATACTCCTTGCCAGCCCAAGCCTCATTTCTCTCTGACTGCTCTTTCAATCCTATTTACAACCACATGCATTTTATTTCAGACTCTAGCCTTCAAAATATGCAAAAAAGTTTAGTCAATCTATGAAGGATGACCTGTAAGGTATTAAGAAATGTGGAGATACAGTGAGGTAACATTGCTCAGAAACGGAGAAAGGATTGTGGACAAAAGAAATGAAAACAATGACAGAAAGCAAATGAGAGCTATTGAGAGAAAGTGTGGAAGATATGTAAAAAGACAAAAAGGCAGAAAAAAGTAGAAAATGGTAAACACATAAATAGTTACACAGGGATGGCAGATTTTTTCATTTGTGGACAGCTCTGTTAAAGATCAACTTAATAGTTTTAATTTGTGCAACAATTACATCTATATTTTTGTTGGGATGAAGCCACAATAAATTGCATGATTGGGTCACTACAATTGCTTCCAATATGTTATGAGTAAATGCTCATTGAAATGCCCTTCAAATACATAGAATAAAACTGCTTATAAATTGACATTGTTTCTTCCTAGTGATTCACCTGCCTCAAAAGACTGCACATAATTAGGTTGAAAATTGAAGACTTTTGCAGAAATCCTGCAATTCACTAATCACCTGATTGAAACACATCAATTCATATTCACATGGTACGTAAAGGTCTTCAGTGAATTCTAGACATCAAAGTCTGTCCTTGTTATATATATATATTTCTATGGAAACTAATATTGTAATTTCTGGAGCCTACAATGCTGCCCTATGACTTTTGCAGTATCTTGGCTGGTGAGTCATTTCCTGAGAGAGTTGCTTTACTACTGTATGCTTCCAGAATGTTTCAGTTTATTTCTGATCAGACCTTATTTATATCACTCAGTGAATTTAATTAAGAAAATATGCTGATGCATCTTCCTCAGTAAAGTAAGGAACTATGCAATATATATAAATATATATCTATATGCACAAGGACAGGTTAAAGGATAAAATTGTGCAACCAGAATCTACTGACGCATTCTAATAATAAGTCCTATAGCCAATTCTTTAAAAAAAAATCTCAAGGGCAAAAGATGCATTTGTGCAATGTCATTACAATGTCCATTTTGTACGTCAGATTCCTTTATCTTGTAATCTGTTTACAATTCAGAAGGACAAAGCTCAAAGATACCGGCAGGAACAAACGTGGGAAACAGCTGCAGAAAAGCCGAAAGCGTTAGGTTTTCTGCCTGCTGATCAAACATATTCCTGCTCGGTCACATTGGGTTTCCAGTCTGTATGTACTATGAATGTGATAGTTTCAAATTAGTAGTGTGTCAGATCCCAAATAACCACTCAAGTGAAATCTTCAATATTGATAGATTAAATACACATCTTTAGCATTGACAGTCTTTGTCAGAGTGCTTCCTTTTTATCAGAGCTATGAAGTCACCAGTAACTGGTGGTAAAAGACAGCTGAGGGTCTCCAGCATTACAATAAAGCAGATCTGGTGAGTTATTAAAGTAACATTGAGCTAGCAGAGATTTGGAAACAATTTCAGGAAATCACAGAAAATTAGCTTACATATTTCATGAATTTTACAAAGATACATTTCAAACAAAACCGTCCTTCTCCAAAATTTTGATATTGATGTCATATTGCCTGTTACTTTCTTTGTGCTTATGTACAAATAATTTAGGAATATCAGCAGTCATTATTTCAATCATAACAGCACACAAGAAAACCTATTGTTTAACTTGTCATTGTAAATTGATGCTCAGCCGATGTGATTTCGATCATTTATCCATTACCTGGCGATGACTCATTAAGAATAACAAGTGAAGCTGGAGTAGGTCTTCGCCTTCTGATCTGTAGAAATGCAATCAAAACAGAACTCATTGTTTTTGCCACAAACACCCAAAGTTTTAAAATCAACCTCAAATGTTTTAAACTACCTTTTCAATTTTAAATAGAATGCAATGGTGAGGAAAGGACAAAGAACTAAAATAAGATTTGCTTCAGCATGCGTAAAACCCATTTGAAATTAATGCCTTTTTTTTCCAAATATCTTGTGAAAGGTTCTTCTTTACCTGTTCAGCTGCCTCAGGGTCTAAATGACTTTGAAATAAAGGCACTGCGAACTGAATCTTCTTTGGACTGTTTGGCTCCATACTGTTAGCACAGGAGACTCCAACAATCCTGAAAGCAGAAATGAGCTCCTGTTGTTATCCACCGTCACTCCTTAAAGACACAGGGATTGTTGCAGCCTCTCCCAAAGTCTCCCAGTTAGTGAACGAAGGTCCTCTGAGCTGCGTCTACTGTACTGAGCAACTCCCTCATTAGACATCCAGGAGCATGTTTGCCTTTGCTCTTGCAATCCTACAGTGCCCTCAATACAAACCATCGAAAACAATGAGCTAATTGTACACTAGCCCAACTCCACAATAGCCAGGCATTTATCCACAGACTAATTTAAAATGCAATGCTGGATTTGAATGGTTTTGTGTCCTGGGATTTGAAAACACCAATCCATCTACTATATATTGTTAGTAGTCTACTCAAATGTGCAATATAAGCTCCCTTTGGACTCTGCTGATGTACTGTTAATTATTGATAAGCACAACTCAGGAAGCTATTTTCTTTTCTTATATTTGATGGAATGGATTTCACTGCACATTCACCTAACTGCTTAGTGCAGGAATCATAACTTAAATGCTGCACCATATATTTTGGACATGAGCAGAGGTACAAGAGCTAAATAACTTTTGTTCCTCAAAATTTAGACACAAACATGAATCTTTCTTGGTTTGAGCTTGGCTCAGATTCAATATCAGACTGCTCACTCATCCCAATTCTTTGTTTCAGGTGTATGCACTCTATCAAGCTTTCACTTCTGAGAACACTGGTCTCTTATTCAAAAAGCATGCACCTACAACCACAGGTGGAAACTGGCAAATCTTATCCAAATGTGGCTAGTGGCAAGTCTAACTATGGTTAAAGATTTTATTTTGATTATAAAGTGAACAATTAAGCTCACTTTGACAATCTCAAGTTAATTTCAACACATTTCAGCAACAGCTTTAGCCTTAGCAGGAATTGAATTAAATAATGCAAATTGCTAAATTCATAATAATAACCTGTATTCATAGAATAATTTTAACATGATTACACATTCCAGAAAGATTCACAGAATCATTATCGCTCACCCGTTAATCCAGAGACCCGGCTAGTACTCTGGGAACGCAGGTTCAAATCCCACCATGGCAGATGGTGGAATTTAAATTCAATTTTTTAAAAAACTCTGGAATTAGGTCTAGTGATGACTGTGAAACCATGTCAATTGTCTTGAGAAACTGGTTTACTAGGGTCCCCTAGGGAACAAACTGCTGTCCTCAACTGATCTACATGTGACTCCAGTCCTACAGCAATGTGGTTAATTCTCAATGCCCTCTGGGCAATTAGAGATGGTCAATAAATGTTGGCTTAGCTAGTGACACCTATATCCTGTAAATAATTACAAAAAAAATGTATGACACCCAGCTACAATGAAAACATTGAGTCACATGACTGAAAACTCGGTCAAAGAAGGAGGTTTAAAAGAATTGAAAAGGAGAAAAGTTAGGTAGCCACATCAATGCAATATAGGGAGGGAGTTTCAGGATTTATGGCCTAAAGGCATAGCCAACAATGGTGGAGCAATCATGAGTGGGAATACCCAAGAGGCCTGAATTAAGGGAGAACCGATATGTCAGAAGGTGGTGTGTTTGGTGGAGATCACCGGGATAGGGAAAGGACAGGCCATGGAGGAATTTAAAAATAAAAGGTTAAGAATTCTAAAATCAAGATTTGCTTGAATGGGAACCAATACAGTTAGCACAGGGGCAATACTTGCTTCAAATTAAGACATAGGTAGTTGACATTTAGATAACCTCATGTTTGTGGATGGTAGAATGTGGGATCAGCCAGGAGTTTGTTGAGATGATCAAGTCAAGAGGTAATAAAGGCATAAATGAGGGTATCAGCAGCCATTGAACTGAGACAGAACAAAAGCCCAGTGAGACCGCGGAGGAGGAAACATACATAGATACTACAAAAATATGAGATCAACAGATCATCACATGGTTAAATATGATACTTGGGTTGTTTGAACAAGATAGATTTGTGTCTATTACTATAACCTGTAAGATTACCTGACATTTGAATGCCATCAGCCACATTTGAATAAGGTTTGGATTTTTAAGTGTATGTTGGGTGAACACTACCATTGCATGCTCAAACGTGAAGGCCTGATGAAGTGCATACACCTGCACCAAAGTACAGGAATGACTGAGCAGTATGACATTGAATCCAAGCCAAAATGGAACCATAAAAATCGTAGGTCCTTTCTTCCAATGCAATCGTAAAGTAGAAAGCTGGCTTAAGTCCAACTAAAAAAGAATGTAAGTACCTGCTGTTGTGGGCATACCTAACATAGGCACAGCTTTCTGTTCAATGGATGGAGATCAACATGACCTTCAAAACAGTATTTCACTCCCCCACCATTGCAGCTGAAGGAAGCTTTTAGGGAGGAGAGCATGTGAAAAACCATGAAGCGAATATTACCCAGATATGACCGGGCACAACTAACTAAACTGCCATTTACCCTGTGTGAAACATTAATATTGCCAGGTGGAGCTATTGGAAGTGGTTCATGCAAAAGACAAAAATATTGGTCGATTCAGTCAATTTGAATTCATTTAGAGAAATTAGCAATTTTGAACAAGTCTGTATAATTAAAATCTGCATGTTGTCTCATTTCCTTCTAATTTTGCATCTATTCTCTTCAAGGTGGTGGGCCTAAACAATGAATGTTAGCAATACTGTGGCAAACACATCGGTGGTTATCTGCAGCATGATCCTTAACTTTGCCGTTATGAGGCACTAGCCCTTAACACTAACCTGGAAAGCAAGTGATGCAACCGGATCAGGAGATGAAACATAAAAAGAAAGAAAGGCAGGATAAGTATCAACTGCCAGGGGCTCTAGAAGCTGGAGTTTGCAAACAGTTGTTCACCAAGGGGCTCTTCGTGTGAACCATCCCTCTCAATTCCAATATTCCAGTCCTTATCATTGTCTTTAAAACCACTATTCATGTGTTACACAGAAGATGGTGCTTATATGGAACGAGCTGCCAGAGGAAGTGGTAGAGGCGACATTTAAACAACATTTAAAAGACATTTGGATAGGTACATGAATAGGAAAGGTTTAGAAGGATATGGGCCAAATGAAAGCAAATGGGAATAGTTCAGTTTAGGAAAGCTGGTTGGCATGCACGGTTTGGGCCAAAGGGCCTGTTTCCGTTCTGTATGACTCTATGACTCTTCATTTAGTCCAGCCGAAGGCCCTACATTCACCTTACCCCAAATCCAGAGCAAAATGAATTCATTAATCAACCAAGTGCCTTCAGTAGCCAACAGTTCAGAGAACTTGTTATGAATTCTGCATGCCTTTAGAGCCTGCCTTGCATTCTTCGGCACGTATCACAGTTTTCCTGGCACACATTTCCCCATTGACTGCAGCTTGGTAGCTGGAACACTGCTGAGCTGCCATTGAGAACATTTCAGATGACTGGTCAGTGACTTCAAGCAGCTCTAGGACTTGAAGGATTGGGTGCAAACTGCAGCAGCATCTTGGCGTGGACTGGAATAATATAGCTCAGCTGGCTGAGCAGCAAAAAGGAATCATGGCTGAGTAGATACCAGGGAGAAAGCATATTAACATGCAGATAGACAACAGCAGATGCCTCTCCCCTGAAGCTAAGACCACTCAACTGAGGATATGCGTCAACAATGCCAAGATGCTGTGCAAGTACAAAGGATAGGGTATTGACACTGGGCCCCAAAAATATGAGATGCCAGTTATTGGAGCAATCAGGAAGCTCCATGGTAATGGTCAGTTCTGTTACGTGATGAAGCTAATCACTCAGTCTACATTGGCCTTGATACAAATTGAAACTGGATGCCTCCATGCTCTGCAATATTGTGGACGCATACATGGGAAAACCGCTTAGAAAAGTACAACTTTCCAACATAAGCATGTCAGCCTTTTTTGGTAGCCTGAGGTCCAAACACAGCATCAGAGTCCCTGCCAGCAGAGCTATCTTCACATGCTCAGCACTGGGAATTGAAGAGAGGGACAAGGGTTAGCTTTTAGTGTAAAGTAAGTGCAGTGAGAGGGAAGTGGCCAGTGAAAGCAACTGCAGAATAAGGAGTAACATGAGATAGGAGTAAAAGGTGATAAAGAGATAAAATATGAAGAAATCTTATTCAACAACTTCCCAGTGTCACCAGGAGCCACACCATGGCAATGACACTGTCCCTATCCATGATGAAACTTACTTTGAGGTTATGCAGTTGGTCTTGTCCTCATCCACAGACGGTCTACTGTCTGGATCCCTGAGTGATCTTCTCCAGCAAGAAAGAACAAAACGTGTTCTTTCATGTGAGGAATCTAGACAATGTGCTTCCCGTGGTGGAATGCTTAGTGTGTATAATATTCTTGGTCTCATCGTGCTGCTAAAGTATATTTACTGAATCTACAGAGATAAGGAAAACATTAGCTTTATTCAGACACATCGTACTCTGGAGAAGTGAATGTTGCAAAGATGAGGAGTATTTATACGAGGAGAAGAAGGTGCAGGGCAGTCATTGTGGAGAAGCAAAGGCAAGTGTTGGAGGAGATTATTGTGAATATTAAGGATGGGGTGATGAAACCATTAGTTGAGCACCAGAAAACTGAATTCTTAAGGTGATAACTCTGGTCATTGAAGCCACAAGTTAGGAGCCAAATTCCAGGCAGTGACTAAATCTGTGACATTTTCCCATTGGCAGCAGAACTTTTACCTCAAGGGCTTTTTGTCTCTACAGGGACCAGAACTCCCCTCCATCCAATGTGTGAATCAGCACTTCCAAACCATTGAAGAATCTGGAGCATGATCTACACATCAAGCAGCTATTTCCCTCCTTGGAAATGCTTCCCTGATGTCTGCAGCTTGAATGCACTTTTCTTTAAGAAATCTTAGGTCTCTTTAAACAATATCAAATATACCCCATTTGAAGTCCCAAACAGCGCATAGTCAGTTAAAAAGATAGATAGCATTGGTTAACAAGCTTGACTCATAATGAACATGCAGGGCAAATATGCTGCCTGGTGTTGCAAATATGTGATTCATATTTCATGTGTTTTGGAGGTATAACTTTTAGTTTTAGGATTGTACCTTTTTAGGGAAGTAAAGTGTTAAATGTAACCTGAATAAGAACCTACTAAACCAAACCTAAAGTGAAAGCAAATCAAATAAACGCGAGTTAATTACAATTAGAATGTAATTTGGGTTTACCTTACATGGTCACAGTTGGACATGAAAAGATCTTAAACAATTTATGAGACATTTCTGCACCTTAGTGGAACCAAGCATCCTGAAGAGCAGACAATTATATCCATTAGAGATATAAATTGTACATATGGGTCATAAAGTAAATGTTTTTGATTTTGTTTGTTAAAATAGTT